CCATATGTACCATAGCTGCCTCCCAAGTAGAAAAGAGCATAGTTGGTTATCAAAAGCACCTCCAAGGTCTGACAACAGTATATTACGGTCATAATTGTATGCAGTCTAGAGCCCTTCCATACCACAAAATAGCTGAATCAATGTCAGATGAGGCAACATGATGTATTGGGGAAAGCATTAGATTTGGAGTTTGGAAGCCCTGCATTCAAATACTGTGTGACCTTCCAGGCCTGTCTCCTCATCTATAAAATGAGGTGTTTGGACTTCATGATTTCTGGGCTCCCTTTTGGCTCTAAATCTAAAATCCATATAACCTGTATGATAATAGACACAGCAGAGGGTAGTAGTAGTCAAGGCTAAACTTGAACTCAGGATACCTGGGTTTAAATCCTGGTTCCTACCATTCATAGTTGTACAACCTTGAGCAAATCACTTCATCTTTCTGAGACTCAATCTTCTCATCTATAAAATGGAGTCAATGACAATTGAGCTACCGACTTCATAGGACTGTAATGAGAAAGCAATTTACAACCCTTGAAAGACTATAAAAATGAAAGTAGCTATTGTGAATAAGGCACAATCTTTGCCATTGTGAAGTTTTTAGACTAGCCCACAATCTCTCAGACTGAGTTGGAGAAATCCTCGGGAACTATTATGTATGAAAACCTGCTTTCTGCACTGAAGGACTAAAGTGGGTCCCAAATATCACGAAATCATAGAATCTAAGATCTGTTCTCCAAATAAGAGCTCCTTCTTCATCCAACCTAAAATATGGACATCCAGCTTTGGAGTAATCAAATCATTGAAATTTTATGAGTTGGGAGGGGCTTTAGTCATATCCAATCCACATCCAAAACAGACTTCCTACTAGAATATACCCAGCAAATGCTCCTCCAGAACCCACTATCTTGCAAGGTGTCCCATTCCATTTTAGGACAGTTCTAATTATAAGGAAGCTCTTCCTGACATCAAAGCCCAAACTGACCTCTTTCCACCTTCCCTCATTTGTTCCTAGATCTGCCCTTTGGGGCCAAACACAAGTCTAAAGTTTCTTCCACACGGCATTCTTTCAGATATTTGTAGACAAATATTATGTCCCCACCAAGGGAATTGAGGGCATTAGGGTAGCAAGTGGTTAATTGTGGGAATTGAATGAACCACCCTGACTCCATCTTGTGACTCAGTTCGGGGGCTAGCTCAGTTCCCTTTCTACTCAATTGTGGATCCAGTCCAATTTCTGTCTTGTGAGAAAACTTTATTCAATTGTGGGATTTATTGCACATTATTATTATTGCACTGTTTGAAGCCAGCTCTGCATGGCTGGGAAACTGGACCATCTCTACCTGTTGCTTAGAAACCCTTTACCAAGGTTAGGCTGTCCAGAAACCCAGGCAGATCCAAGAACTGATGCAAGGAGTTTTGTCACAAAGTACATCTCAAGCTACCTATACTTCTTATCCGAAAACTAGCCCCATACTGATCAATCAGTTATTGTTTCCATGTTCCTTTTGGTTGTTTACAGACACTTGGGGGAAGGGGAACACATCTTTTGTCCGAATTCAGAGAATTGCTCCTGTTCACCCTCCCCCTCCCAACTTGGAAAGACCCTAATATTTTATCCAATTAGAAATCAGATTACTTAATGTTATATTGTTTCCATGTAATTAATTGGTCTTATTCGATTAAATGCTTTTAATGTATAAAAGTCTGTCTGCCCCTATATTCAGGGTCCAGCCCTAAGCAGAGGGAGCCTAGTCCCAATTTGTTGAGCAATTGTCATGCATTGCTTAATAAATCGAAATGCTTTGTTTCCTTAGTAATTTCAACTTTCACATGCCACAGCTCTTTTCCATGCTAAATATCCCTCATTTCTTCATCTGGCATGAACAAAAAAGCATTTACTATCCTGACTGCCTTTCTCAGGAGGATAAATAATAACAATAATAATAATAATTAGTGTCTATATAACACTTTAAGGTTCACAGAATGCTTTACAAATACTATCTCATTTGATCCACACAACAACCCTATGAGATAATGCTATTATCATCCCTATTTTACAGATGAGGAAACTGAGGCAGATAGAGGTTAAGTGTTTCGCCCAAAGTCACACAGCTAGTAAGCATCTGGGGCCAGATTTGAACTGAGATCTATCCTGAATACAAGTCCATGTTCTATCTACCATGCCACATTGTCAATTTCCTTCCTACACTGTGGTACCCAGAATTGAACACAGTATGTCAGATGGGGCCTGGCCAGGTGCTTAATAATATCTTTTTTTTTAATTGGCTATGTGATCTGGGATGAGGCATTACCCCTCTCTGAATCTGCTTCCTCGTCTTTAAGGTAGAGGCAAGGGATTGTAGGCTTTAGGGCTGGAAGAATCCTAGAGATCACCATCATAGGATCCTTGTGGAGAAAGGACCTTGCAAACTTTATAGTGCCATAGAAGGGGGATTTATTGCTGCTGTCGCTGCTGCTCTAGTCATTTTGACATCCCCCCAAGAAACGTGGAATCAAACCTTGACTGCCTGGGTAACATTTCTGAATTCTCTAGGAGCCTGGAAACTCTTGGAAATGAAAAAGATTGAAGCCATCAAAGCAATAACATCCTCCCAGGACCATGGTCCCCTCCCTGTTCCGGTGGCTCTCTTTTGGATCAGAGATAATTCTGCACAACTATTATCTTCCATTATTAGATCTAAGATGAGGCCTATGCTAAGACCGGGGTCTACAGGGTCTGCTGCTCCAGGGTTTGGGGCTACTCTAAGACCCCAGACCCTATGGCAGTCACAAAGCCAAAGGCTTCTAGGATTTAGAATGAGAAGGTATCTGAGAGATCAGTGAGTGCGACTTCTCATTTTATATATGAGAAAACAGAGCCTCAGAGAGAATAAGGGACTTGTCTGATACTGGAAGGTATAATTACTCACCCAGTTTGGAAACTTCCTGAATTTCTAATACTGTCAAAGAAAAGTAAATTCAATAGCCCAAAGAAAGGGTTCCTGTGGTATCCACCAGGAGTCTCCTCCTAGCTAGGAAATACCAAAGCATCTGAACATTAACTCAAATGCCTGCCATACATCCAGATGTTTTGCCTGCATGATAACAAACACAAGGATGCTGGGCCTTCATGATGACCATTATCCAGATGTTTCTACTTGGAGAATTGGAGCAGCAATCCCGGGCAATTAAAGGGAGCGACTAAAGGAAAAGGGAAGATTGGTGATGATAAGGTTGGGAAGGGGCTGGGGTCTGTTAATTTTATGAAGGAAGAAACTGAGGCTTAGAGGAAGGGATAATTTGCCCAAGGTCACAGTCAAATAAAGAGCAGATTGGAACCCAGGTCTCCTGACTCCAAGTTGATAGTCTGTTATTTCAAATAGCCTCAATGGTTCCTTTTAACTGAGTCTGAGGCAAGACCTAGGTCCACAGACTGGAGCCATCAGCCCCAAAGAGGACTCACTTCCTAAATGGAGCTGTTTGCTGGGTCAGTCAAGTGATGCTCACAGAGGGTAAGGAGATGGGAGTTATTCATCACTTGAAACATGAGATGTTCCCCATTGTTCAAAGGATCATGGGTTTAGAGACAAAGGGGGCCTTAGAGGTCATCAAATCCAGACCCCACACTTCACAAATAAGACAAGTGAGACCCAGAGGGGTTAAGTGGCTTTTCCAGTGTCACACTTAAGTGTTTAAAGCAAGATCTGAACCCAGGTCATTGTGATTTCAAGACTAATGTTTTATCTACCATACCATGCTGCCTCTTGGTACTGAACAACCTCTATTTAGTAGTGAAAACTGCCCTTGGGGTGCTGGGTGGATAGTTGCAGCAAAAATGACTTGGGTTCACTTGGCATATTACAAAGCAATTTTAAACACCTAATAAGGTAAGCTTTAAGTAAGCTTTGGACTAGACAGCTAATAATCAGAATCAAAGCTTACTAATTTAGACCTATCCCTTAATAGGTGCTTAAGAAATATTTCTTGAATGAATTAACTGGCAAAAAAAGGTTAGAAACTACTTGAAAACAGGGTCTATGCCCTATCTTTGTATCCCCAGCACCTAGAATCATGTCTTACACATTCCTCAAGGATCTTTTTTGAGGGTGGGAACTCATCCCTCCCACCACCACCACCACCATCACACAGTACATCCATAACTTGGTAGAGAACTTGTAACCTGTTGCCTAGGATTCAGAGACACTAAATGGCTTGCCCTGGGTCACACAACTAATTATTGTCAGAGGCATGAGTTAAACTTCAGACTTCTTATTCAGTATTATGTCATGCTGCCTTTCTAAATAGCTGCTTATTAAATGCCTGTGGATTAAGTTCAACTTAAGTAATTTTAAGAGGTGATTATATTACTCTCAAGCACAAAAAGTGATTACAAATTTACTATCAAAAAGTTTTCAAGCAAAAATCGCCTTAGCAACATCAACTGCATTGGTCCTGCCAATGTGAAAGGAAATATGTGAAATGAAACTGATTTGCTTAAGTACTTTTAAAATTGTCTGTTTCTGAAAGTAATTTAAACATGCCTCTAACAATCTTGCTTGACAATTTACTTCACAAACCCTTTCTTAAGAGGCCACTCAAAGTTCAACATTAGCCCAGTTAAGTGAGCAAGATTTAGCCACCAGCGCCTCTTTAATTTCTGAGTTTGCCCTGCAGCTAAAACACTGGCACCAAGATGTGTCAAACTGGCACTGCCAGGGCCAGAGAAGATGACAGAGTGGCTGGAGGGAGGGGAAGTGATTAAGAGTGGGAATGAGGAGGACACAGAAAAGTCTCTCAAGACTACCCAGGACAGCCCCACAGACCTTTTGGATACAGAACTAAGTGGCTTGAAACTAGACCTAATTTCAGTTCAAACTAGCAACAACTTCGCTTCAGCAAGCACTAGCAGGGAAAGGCCAGGCCAGGGCCCCTGGGGCACAAATGGGAACAAGGTGGGATAGTGCAGGGAGAGGGAGGGAAGGAGGGTGGCCCTGGAATTAGATCATGCCGCTCTTGTCATCTTGAAAAAAGGTCCTCGACGAGGCTCGGCCCAGCAGCAGCTCCTTCTCGTGGATGAGGTTCTCCAGCAGGTCCTCCTGCCGGTAGTTGTGGTAAACCTTCAGGAAGGCCAAGATGGTGATGCCCAGCCAGGCCAGCCAGGCAGCCCAGAGACCAAACTAGGACAGAAGGACAGAGTGGAAGGGTCTGAGGGGGGCACAAGGGAAAGCATCATCCCCTGGGGTTGGGGGCTGGGAGTCGATAGTTCCGAGTATCGGGAAGAGTGCTTAATAAAGAGGGGTTGCAGAGAGAAAGCAAGGTAGGCAGTTGGGCGATCAGTCCATCTGTTGAGTGGATTTGGTGCCTTACAGTGTTCTGGATTTCTGGCATAAGCAAGAGAAAAACAGAGTCCCTCTGCCCTGGGCAAATCTCCAATCTCAGCACTCAAACAGAAACAGATGGTAGAATGTAAGCTCCCTGAGGTCAAGGGCTGTTTGTTTTTTGTCTCTCCATCTAATAGCTAGCAGAATGTCTTGCCCATAGTGGGTGCTTACTAAATGTTTATTGAATTGAATTCAATAACCACTTGTCAAGGATTATCAAGTATGTGTTGGCCTAGATGCTCTCTGAAATCTGTTCTAAAATTCTATGATTGATGATCTGAGAGAGCAATAAACAAAAGATAATCAGACATCAAGTTGCAAGTTTCAGCCAAGTAGGAATTCAGGGAGGGTGATAACCCCGGAGGTTAGGATAGTCAGGGAGTACTTCACAGAGGAGGTGGGCCCAGATCGGTAACATCTTCTCCATCCTCCAGTTGTCCCATTGAAAAATTAGGTCAATAATCCCTGCCCTGCTTACCTCATGGGGTGTTTATGAGGAATAAGTGAGCAAATAAATGGGAAAGCATTTTAAAAAGTTAAAAAGAATGATTCAAACAAAATAGTAATAATAACAATAATAAATGATAATAAATAACTCTATTTCTGTAGTGTTTTAAGATACTTTACAAAGCATTAACCTGTGAGGTAGGTGGTATAAGTATGATTATCCCCATTTGATATATGAGAAGGCAGAGTCTCAGAGACATTAAGTTGATTTACCCATCATCACACAGCTAGTGTTTGACAGAACCAGGAAATAACTCTAGGTTTTCTGAACAGGAATTTTTCCACTCAACCACTCTTCATTACATGACAGACTGATTATCATTGTCTATTATTACCATTGTTTATTGGTATTTTCCAACTTAGCAACCAACATGAATCAAAAAAGCACATAGCTGCCCCTATTTTTACCTCCCTGAGCCCCAGCAAACTCTAGCCCAGGTTGGCCTGATAAGTCTAGGAACCCAGACGGGAAGGTGGCCCTCCCAGCTTTAGTTTCACTGTTCTATCTCACCTTCAGGGGCAAAGGGGTTTTTCAACAAAGAGCCCTCCCCCAACCTAAATCACTACCCCATTAGGTTGTGAATTTTTTCAGGGCAGGAACTATCTTTTGCCTTCTTTATTCCCAGCACTTAGCCCAATGCCTGGCACATAATAGAGGCTTAAGAAATATTTCTAGATTGATTCTCTTACCCCCAACCAAAATCAAAGACCAACGGGGGCAGCCCTTGGATTTTCATTCTTATATTCCTTGGAAGGACATGTCTCTTTTGTTTCTGAATCCAGGAGAAACTACAAAAATACTTTGTTTGATGACAGCTAGCACTATCTGGGACCCCTCTGATGCCTGCCTTTATAAGGACACACCAAAGCACAGTCTGTGATTCCTTTGGGACAGTGTTGTTTTTGGTACCCTACACATACTTCCCCTTCCTGAGGAAGGACAAGCAGACAATCCCCTCATTTTACAGAGGAAGAAATATATTTAGAGAGGGCAATCAGCTTGCTCAGTGTCACACAGAACATGAGCAGCAAAGCCAGAACCAGAACAGAGGTCTGACTTCCAGTCCAAAGCTTTCTCTGCTAACTCCAGCCTGCCTAGTGAAGGCTTAGCTGAGCAAAGTTGACTTAGCCTCAGCACTAAGAAATGTGGAAAGCTAATCATCCTCCAGTGGCTTGGATGACTTGCATTTCTTTCGTTTTTTAGACATTTGGGGAAGTGATCAATCAAGAAGAAGAATAATTTAATAAGCTTCAAGATGGAAAAGTCTGACCAAGAACCTGTTATGCTCAGGAGTAGGGGACATAAACTAAAGCCATTTTAGACATCATTTGCATAAAATTCATTTAACACTTCTCTTTTTTTGCTTTATGAAAAAGTTTATTTTTACATAAATAAAATTGTTATTTTTTAAATTCTTTTTAAAATATTTCCTTTATCGTTAAAATAACTGCCATGTGGGAGAGAAAAGGGTATGGGATTAGGAGTCTGAAGACCTGAATTCAAATCCCAGCTCTGCTCATGTGACTTTGGGAAAGTGTAGCCCAAAACTATCTGGGCTTTAGTTTCCTGATGGGTGATATGAAGCATTTGGATTAGATGATAGATGCCTAAGGTCCCATCCAGATCCAGAAACCCACTCACTACCTGTGTAATCTTTGGAAGTCATTTAAATTCTCTGGGCTTGAGGTTTGCAAAGTACTTTCCTCTTAAAAGTGGATAGAGTTCTAGACCTGGAGGCAGGAAGATCTGAGTTTAAATCCAGCCTCAGACATTTACTAGCTGTGAGACTCCGGGCAAGTCACTTAACCCTGTTTGCCTCAGTTTCCTCATCTGTAAAATGAGCTGGAGACATGGCAAAGTCATGAGTTTGGACATGCCAAACCGCTTCCATATCTTTACCAAGAAAACCTCAAATGAAGTCATGAAGAGTGGGACACAACTGAAAAATGACTGAATTTCTCTTAAAAACTCTGTGAGGTAGGCAGTAAACATGTTATCATCCATTCTGATAAGGAAGGACCAAATAAATTTGCTTAGGGGCATACAACAAGGCAGCACGAAAAGATCTTGGTCTCAAGCCCAAGACCTCCTGCCTTCAGGGCCAGTTCGCAGTCTCCAAACTTCTCATTTCACAGATGAGCAAACCTAGGATTGAGGAGATGGTGACTTGCCCAAAGTCCCATGGACGGTAAGCATCAGAGAGTCAGTATATGAAACAGGTTCTCTGACTCCAAAGTCACTAGTCTCAGCCTGCCACATCTCGTGGCCTCCCAACAAGCTGAGCTAAGGTCTCTCTCTTCTAATTCTTGATATTGGTTACCATGCTGTAAAGGTTTGAAGGGCTGTCTAATGGAAGAAGGCTCTGTCTTGCTCTGCCCAGCTCCAGGGACACTGCTAAGAATAGTGGGAGAAAGTTACAGGGAGAAAGACACTAACTCACTACAAGGAAGAATTTGGTAAAAAAAAAAAAAAAAAAAAAAAAAAGCCTAAAAAATGGAATGGGCTACCTCAGGAAAGAATAAGTTAATAATGACTTCTCTAGGCCTCAGTTTTCTTATGTGCTAAATAGTGGGATTGAACTAAATGACACTAGGGTCCCTTCTAGTTCTCGACCCATGATCCACAATCCCAGCTAAGTGGTGGAGTGGATAGAGCTCTGAACCTGGACTCAGGAAGACCTGAGTTCAAATCCAGCCTCCAGAACTTACTAGACATATGACCCTGGGAATATCATTTAACATCTGTCTGCCTCAGTTACCTCAACTATAAAATGGGGACAATAATAGCACCTACTTCCCAGGGTGATTGTGAGGATCAAATGAGATAATAGTTATAAAACAATTAGCACAGTACCTAGCACATAGTAAGAGCTTAATAAATGCTTGTCTCCTTCTCTATTGTCTCCCCATAACTGGATATATTCCAGCAGAGTCTAAATATCCATTTATCAGAGAGATTGTAGAAGGTTCCTTCTCAGGCAGAAATGGACTAAATACTCTCTAAATTCCCTTCTAGGTTTGTGGAATGAGCCAAAGGGCCAAGTTAGTAGGACTTCCCCTCAACCCTAGAATAGCCCTCCTTAACAGTTAGCAGCACTCCTCACCCAATCTCACAGTCACACCTACCTGGGCAAGAGAAAACTGGTCATAAAAGGCCGAGTTTTCAGGGTTCAAATCCAAGTCCATATTCTGAAGCTCTTCACAGCTAAAAAGGCAAAGATATAGGGACAGAAAGTTATTTCCAAAATTCCCCTTTGCCCCGCAAGGGAGCAGTCCCACTTCGAATGATTTCCTTCCGTACAGAAAAGTCTCTGAGAAGAAAGTAATATAAATGCAAAGAAAGCAAATCCTGGGTTTTGACACTGCTTCTTCCAATAAACCTGATGTGGTCTCCTCCCAGCACTTGGAAAAAATCAGATACTGCCAGTGCCAAGGACTACCAAAAGGAGTACCACAAATATTTCATAATTAAATTGGAAAGAAGAACAGCAGGTTATACATCTGTCTACTGTGAGAAGCATCTAGCCCAACACTCCCTTCCCACTTCATCTTACAGATGAGGAAATGGATTACCCAGGTAACCCAGGTCATTTGCCTGTAGAACTAGTGTTCCTACTTAAGGAGATGCCTTATCCCTCCCCTTAAAGTCCTCCCTCATTTCCTCCTCCAACCTTAGTTGCAGGACTGCCAATGGGCAAGAATAACCACCATACTGTGATGCCCTGTTCTTTTGCCTTAACCTAGGATACATGACTACTCACATACCTTGGATGAGATGGGAGTCAACAACTCCATTCCTTCTGATGAAATGAAAGACCACCAGCCCTTTACCATCTGCCATCCCATTGCCTTGTAAGATCCTCCAGTCTTTATCAACTGCCCTGTCTCTACAGCCCACAGTTGCCCAGTTCCATCATCTGGCCTCCTTATGGAATCTAAGAACATCTGGACCTTGCCATGTACAATGTCCATCATTTTATCCTTCTGGACTTTTCTATCCTTGCTGCAGCTGAACTTTCTTTCATATGTTGTCTCTCCCAATTAGAATATGAGCTTTTTAAGGGAAGACGCTGTCTTGCTTTTTCTATTTGTATCCCCAGAGCTTAGCACAATACATGAAACGGAGTAAGCAATTAGAAAAATGCTTTTTTTTATTCATTCATCTATTTGAACATAGAGCTGCCTTGAATTAACTTCCTTTTCATTCTCAAACACACACTCGTGCACACACAAACACACACACACACACACACACACACACCCCTTCCCCCCAGGGTATAGAAAGCAGAACACAAGCACATACCTGTTGGGCATGCTGCCTTTCTCTGTGATGGCATCACACCACATGTCAAATCCCACACTGATGATAGTACAGGCAATGAAGACTACGAAGAGGATGAAGATATTAAGCATCAAAGCCGCAAATGATTCAAGGCAGGTCCTGTAGAGAGGAGAGCAGAGATAAGGCTCAGAAACAGCCAACCCATGGCATCTGCAAGCTCTCTGAGAATCCAGAACTCACTGCCCTGCATCCTGGCAGCCTCTCCTCAGAGCCCCATATAGCTGCTTAATTCAGACCAAGCAGGTCTCATTCCCTCTTCACTTGGATGCATTTGTACTTTTGTAAATGACTAGCCAGGACATTAAACCACCAACAGCAGGTAAGCTGGAAGGAGAGTCACACACGACCCTATCCTCATTAACCTCAGGGAAGAAAATCCTAACTGTATAAATGATCACTCCCATTTCTATGATTTTCTAAGGTTTACAAAACTCTTCCTTTACAATAAAACCATTAAGGTAGGGAACTTCTTTTGTATTCCCAGGCTTAGCATAGTGCCTGGCACAAAGGAGTTACTTAGTAAATGTCGATTCATTAATTCATTGATTACTAATCATTATTTTTCAGAGAAGGAAACTGAAGATTAGAAAAGGTAAATGACTTGCCCAGGGTCATTCATTTGGTAGGGACTCCAAGCCAAGTCTAAAAAAGAGCATGAAATCTTTAGCAAAGAAAGTAATTTGAAAGAAATGAGGATTAAACAAATATTTTATGGATTACATGCCACAAGAAGTTTAAAATGCTTATGGTACCTGACTGTTATAAGCCAAACCATTAAAAAATAAAAGAAAAGAAAACCAAATTAGAAACTTTTCACACCTATGGCATGGGGAAGGATTCCAACAGAGGTGACCACAAAGGATAAATTAGACCATTTCAATTATTTTCAAGAATTCTTGACCTTATGGTTAATGTTCTTTACACTATATATCCTCAACATCATTTTGTTTTTCAGTCATTTCAGTCATGTCTGATTCTTCATGACCTCCATTTGGGTTTTCTTGGCAAAGATACTGGAGTGGTTTGTCATTTCCTTCTCCAGCTCATTTTGCAGATGAGGAAACTGAGGCAAACAGTGTTAAGTGACTTGCCTAGGGTCACATGGGCAATAAGTGTCCGAGGCCTGATTTGAACTCAGGAAGCTTCTACTTCCTGACTCCAAGCCCAGGACTCTACCCACTGTGCTACATATCTAACTGCCCTCATCAACGTCAATCCACAACATTATTTGTATCTTGATTGTTGAGAAACTAAACTGGAGGTAATGCTGATACTCTAGAAGAAGGAATCATCCCACTATGGACCTAGGTCTAGAAATATGTGTGTAGGAGCTGCCCCAGACAAGATACATACATACACACACACACACTCACACACACACCCTTCCTATCTTGGGGAAGTACCTTAGCTGAGACGCAAGAAACTACCCTCCCCTCAGAGAACCAGCCAAACTGATTAGGTGGATACAGGGCCATAGTGTTTTCTTTTCTACAAGAACACAGGACTATAGATTAGCAGGATAGGAAAGGTAGATCCAGCTAAAGGCAGTATCATGTAATTAAAACAGCACTAAATTTGTAAAGGATCTTCTTTTGAATCTTGCCTCTGTCACTTTGAACAAATCAGATCTGAAAAATAAGAAAAGGATAGGAAAGAACAGATGATTTAGGTCCCTCCCAGCCCTAAATTCCAGGAATCTACAGACCTGTATTTCATCTGTAAGGAAACATAATAATATTTGTACTGCAGAACTCACTAGATTCAATTCAACACCTACAATGAGCTAAGTACTATACTCATGAGGTGGTAGTGATAACAAAAATAAAATTAAACAATCCCTGGTCATTAGCATGGAAAATCAAATGCAAAATAGAAAAAATAGATAATTGGAATAGATTAAATGAGAAAAAATCAGAAACAACTGAAATCAACAAATGAGAGCTCAATGATCCCTAGAACATAAAATCCTTAGTAAAGAACCCTATATTTGACAAAGCCATGTAGGAAAAAAATCATAATTTCAAAAAAAATTAGGTGTAGACAAATATTTTAAAAATTATATACTGCAATAAGTTCTTAGTGGATATGGTACCTGATTAATACAGGCGCTTACTGTAGAAGGATATTTCTAACCAAATAAATACGAGATAAAAGTGACCACAAAAGAGAAAATAGATAATCTTGATAACATAAAATTAAAAGACTTTTGAATGAACAAAATGCAACCCAGGTAAGAAGTGGTCAATTGGAGGAAAAAAGATCTTCACATCAAATCTCTGACAAGGATCTGACATACAAAATATATAGAAAACACAAACAGATAAGATGAAAAGCCAATGGATAAGTGGTCAAAGAATATGAACAAATAGTTCTCAAAAGAAGAATTACAAACTATTGACCACTTTATGAGAGGTTGTTTAAAAAATTACTAAAAATATAAGAAATACAAAACAAACCAACTCTGAGTTTGACTTCAGACCAAGCAAATTAACAAAGAGGACAAAAGTTGAAGATAACTAATGTTGCATGGGTTACAGAAAACAGGTACATTAATGACTAATAAATTAGTCAACCATTTGGAGAGCAATTTGAAACTATTTCAAGAAAGTTATGAAATATTCACACTTGCTAACCCATATTCATAAACCTCCAGCTCGTCAGTAGCCATATAACCCAAGAAGGTCAATAATAAAAAGAAAGGCTCCACACTCACCAAAATAGAGTACTTTTTGTAGTAGCAAAGAACTAGAAACAAAGTAGATTGGAGAATGACCAAATACATTACGGTACATGAATGCAATGGAATATTACCAAGCTATCTCTAAGAAGCATGATGTTACAGGCCAGAGTTGAGTCAGGCCAAGTTCAGATTGGGAATTGGGATAAAATGAGAAGACACTCACAGACCATGTCAACAAAAAAGTTTACTTAACCATAGCATATTTGTAGCAAATACACACATACAACCTTTGGTATGGTAATGCACTAGTGAATCTTTATTTCAAATAATTTCTTATAAACAACATACTGTGGGATTCTTTTCTCTTTCATTTTACAGGTGAATTCATCTTGTTCAAATTAACAGTTATGATTATTAATTGTATATTTCTCTCCATGTTTTCTTATGCTATTTCTTCTCTTTGCACCTGACCCACTCTTTACAAAGGAGAGGATGGTGAAAGGGAACAAATGTGATCAGCACTAGTGAACTATAATAGAAGCTACCTGCTTCTATTCCACTGCCAGTCCTATATTCTCCTCATCCACACTCCAATCATTGGTTCTTACAATTTCTTTCCTTTTAATCTCCCCTTGATGATTCACCTTCCAAAGTTGACATTTGTTTTGCTTATGAAAAAGACCTCTCCAACTCTCCCCTCTTAAACTCCAATCTCCCCCTTCCCTATCCTTGCCTATATCCCTGTTGAGTTTAATATTATATCAAATCCTGTGTGTATGTGTGTTCAACCCTCCTTTGTTCAGTTTAGATAAGAGTAAAGTTCATGTGATGCTCACTACACCCACCCTTTCCTTTCTGTTTGTATAATCTTCTTTTGCACACCCATAATTCATTCTACCCCTTTCTCCCTCATTTCTTTTTATCCCTTCATCTTCTTAAAATTGTCTAAACAGAACAGTACCACCCATAGTTTCTCTGTTTTTCTTCCTGAAATGAACATACAACTTTTGAACACATCAGGATTCTGAAAGGACCCTTCTCTATTCTCCCCCATTAAAATGTAGGTATTTAATCATCATTTAATTCCAAGTGAATATACCTTTATGGGTTTCTTTCAATTCCTATATTTACAATCAAAGTTTCTACTCAGTTTTAGCTTTTTCATTCTAAAAATTTAAATATTCTCTATTCCAATAAAGATTCATTTTCCCCCATGTAGGATTATACTCAGTCTTTTAAGGTGTCACCCTTGGTTGTAAGCCTATATTTTTTTGCTTTCTGGAATATCCTATTACAAGATTTTCTCTCCATTACAGTAGTTGCTGCCAAGTTTTATTTGATCTTGACTATGGTCCCATGGAACTTGATTTTTTTCATTCCTGCTTATTATAGTGTTTCTCCTTTGTCATAGAGGTGCTGGATTTTGACTATAACATTCCCAAGAGTTTTTACTTTGATTTTCTGTCAGGTCAAGTCTTCCAATTTTCACTTTGCTTTTTGGATCTCATAAATCTGGACAGTTTTCATGGATAATTTCCTAAAATACAATTCTCAGACTTTATTTTTGGTCATAGATTTCAGAAAATCCAACAGTTCTTAAATTATCTCACCTGTACCTGGGGAACTAGGACATACACCAATTAAATTACAGTTCCTCAAAGCATTAAAATAAGTGCATCTTATTTTATTAGGCTTGGCCTATTATTCCAACCTGTGAAAATCTTTTTTGAATCCTGATTGATCATCCAATAAGTAAATAATTCCTCCTCTTAAATGATCTTTTAATGATCTTTTATTTTTTAAAATGCTTTTTTTTATAATGAACAAACAATAAGCATAATGTTATACATTCTATATCTTTCAGTCAATTGTGAGATGGTAAAGATGTCATCATTTGTTGACTATCATTTGAATAAACCTTATTGTTCCCTCCCTACTAATATCCTCATCAAGGATAGTCTTAAATCATATATACATGACCCTCATAAAGACTTTGTATAGATGGGAAGGTAAGCATCTAAATCAGTAACTGTTGAAGTTTTCTGGGTCATCGTTTTTGGAATCTATAGAGTCCAAGATTTTTATGAAAAGTCTGGCATGACTTTTGATAAAGCTAATTAAACTTTTTTTTTCAATAAAAATCTGCCTTCTCTCCCTTCTACATCACCTAACACACACATTAAGAAAGAAAGAAAAGCAAAACAGTTGTTATAAACATATATAGTCAGGCAAAACAAATTCCCACATTGGCCATATCCAAAAAAGTCTCAGCCACACTCTGAGTTCATCTTCTCTCTGTCAGGAGATGGGTAGAATGTTTCTTCATGAGTCTTCTGAAGTTATAACTGATCATTGTGGTGAACAAAGTTTCTAAGCATTTGTCTTGAAGTATTTCAAAGTATTTATCTTTACAATATTA